AAAATAATATGCATTGCCTAGAATAAGTACTTACAAAGATACTCTCCACTTAATTATGATGAAAAAAATGTAAATTTTTTTTATGGGATAATTGAATCTTTAAATGAACTAATACATGTGTTAAAATCATCGCATTGCTAATAATTAGAAATTTATGATATTAATAATACATATTTCAATAATATAATATATATATATATATATATATATATATATATATATATATATATATATATATATATATATATTTTCTTAATACATTCTACCAAAATAATGTCGGAAAGCTGGAAGGTTTTTTCTTTAAATACAGTCGCGATAAATAAAGGGCAACTTTCACATATAGCAAACGAAAAATTCATATTTGTATGCTATAGCAAACTTTGCATAATTGCGCTCCGTAGCAAACATAAAACTGTATAATTTGTTATACATATACAACTGTATAATTCGCTGGCCTAAATTGTATAATTCGCTGGCCTATTTCGCTGCAATTGTATAATTTGTTTTGCATACAGTTGAATCGAATTAAAATGTATGTATATTGTATAATTATAAGTGTATAGCAAGAAGATATATGTTTTTCTCTCTTTATACAAAAACAGAAACACAATATATACACTTTTGTATAAAGCTAGAGAAAATTGTATTTCACTGCAATTGTATAATTCACAATTGTATAATTCGTTGGCCTTTTTCTCTGCAATATTTGAAGTAAAATGTTTGTAAATTGTATAATTAAGTGTATAACACGAAGATATACATTTTTGCAAGTGCATATACAATTTTCTCTCGTTTTATACAAAACAGAAACAAAATTATACACATCTGTGTATAAAGCGAGAGAGGCGAGCGAGATTTTTGGGAGAGAGACGCTGACAAATTTTAGCTAATGTTTGCTATGGAGCACAATTAAATCAAATCCTAGCTATTCCATTTAATTTAGGTTATTAATTTGCTATTATATACAATTTTTCCATAAATAAAAGAGAGTACTACGTATCTATTCCAGTATCATTTTAAGGAAAGACATTTAAGATGCAGGGCTAGGAGTATAACCTCGTCACTAATAACTAGATTAGGGTTTTGGGATCTCCTAAATTAGCAGGTAATTCCCACATTTTCTTCAAAATTTCATGTGTTTGTCATCATCAGACAGTCGTTTTAGGCTTCAGGTTATTTCCTGCATTCACTTGTGTTCAATTTGATTTAGGGGTTTGGGTGGGTTTTGCCCTATGGCTATGGAGTCTTGGTGGTGATCTCATCTTTGGTCAAAGTATTTCTTTTTGGATGTTGCTTTCATTTTTTAGTTTAGAAAAAGAGAAGATAAACGTGGTACATCAAAATATACTTTATCCAATTAAATGTATAAATTTATTTCCATACACCAAATAAAGATTTCTCACTGATACTGTTCTGTATAATGTAAAGTTGAAGATTATGACTTGCTGATAGCATTAATTTTAATTTAATCTGGTTCTTCCTTTAATGATTATATAATGTATATACTTTAAAATTCTAGAAAATGTGATTGATTTTAATACTTTTTATGCTAAGACTCATGGCAACTTGGAGCTATTTTTATTGTTTTACAAGTCAACACAAACGGCTACTTAAAAATCAAACAAAACATAAACGTTGCCTCTGTGTAGATCCAAGACTACACACACATCATTATCTTGCTGACAAAGTCTTCTTTTGTGCACATGTATATCTAGAAGATACCATATCTTCTTTCTCTCACACACACACACTCTGAGAGTTGCTTAACTATGTCTCTCAAGATTAATCTGTTGATCTGTTTCTTCATTCTTCATCTATGGGCTGCTACAGGACACAAGATAGGAATTTATGAGATCAAGAAAGGAGATTTCTCTGTTAAGGTCACTAATTATGGTGCCAGAATCATCTCTGTTCTTCTTCCTGATAAGAATGGTATGTGATTCAAGATTTTAGTTTGATGAGTTATATTTTCATGATTCTTTCTTCTTAACTGCACTATTTGATACTTGTCTTGTTCCTTTCCAGGAAAAATAGGTGATATTGTTCTTGGATATGACACCATTGGGGAATACGTGGTTAGTTTCACTTTCTTCTTTTCTAATAACTTCTTATTATTCATCAACAGTTGTTTGTTTGACGCATATCATTTGTCGGATTAACAACTCTTTCTTTGATACACTGTCCAATTGTACTTCTTTACCAAAAAGACCGTGTTTTTGCCTGTAGTATGTAACCTAAATTCCCATGTTTTCTTGGGGACTAATGTGCAGAAATTTAGACTGGAGAATGTGGAGATAGATGATTCTCTAACGTTTGAACATCAGATTATGGTGAATTGTAATAACTTGTCTTGTTTCTTTTCTGAAACAAAAACTTGTGCCTAGTATACACGAAGTTTGAGAACTATGATTCTGCTGTCCCTATGTCATCTTAGTGCATATTACACTAAAAAGTATGCTTAGCCAAGCTGGCCGGCACTATGAACATTCACAATGGGGGTGGACCATCATTGGACATAATTATGCCTCTTTCATCATTTGAGCCTTTAAGTAACATGCCTTATTTATGTGTTTAACTTAGCACTACACCATATTTTGGTTAGACAAAGACATCCAAAAGGATTTATGATTTTCGGATACTCCACCTAATGCATTAAATTGACATAAAAATCAACATGTTTCACATGTGCCTCAATAATGTCATATTCTAAGTTAGTAGAGGGGCATAAAGAATGTCAAATTTCAAAATTCTTTCCGAGAATTCAATGGATGAGAATATGGAATCAGTCCCTTGCTACTCTACAAATCGATATAGGAATAAACAAATGTGAAAAAACTTTCGTTGCAGAACGATACGAGTTCCTTTGGAGCTATTGTTGGAAGAGTTGTTAACCGGATTGCTGGTGCTCGATTTACTCTAAATGGAACCCTTTATAAGCTTATCGCCAATGATGGCAAGAACACAATACACGGTATCCTCACTAGATTTTCTTTCTCTTCCCATTTCACTTCCATAATACCCAAATTTCCTTCCTCTTATGTAAAAACTTGAAAAATGTAGGTGGCCCTAAAGGATTTAGCCATGTTGTTTGGAAGGTGAGCAAGTACAAGAAAGATGGTCCTCATCCTCACATTACTTTAACCTACCACAGTACTGATGGTGAACAAGGTGAATGGATCTGCTTAGTTAATGGTTATTCCGCAAGACAATTACAGTCTTCTTTATTTTCTTAAACTTTGTACCAAGTCAAAACTAGACAAGCAAATTGAAACGGGTGGAGTCCTTTCGAAGAACATTCTGAATTGAATAAAATCCATTGTTTTCTCTTGTAGGATTTCCTGGTGATCTTCTTGCCTCTGTTACCTATGCATTGGAAGACCCTTACAAGCTTAGTGTGGTAATGAAAGCAAAAGCTCTAAACAAGGCCACTCCAGTTAACTTGGCTCAACATACTTATTGGAACCTTGGTGGACACAACAGTGGCGATGTTTTGTCCAACGATATTCAAATCTTTGCTTCACACATCACCCCATTAGATCAACATTTCATTCCAACAGGAAAAATCGCCCCTGTCAAGAACACGCCCTATGATTTCCTTAAACCCCGTAAAATTGGGAGCCAGTTCAAGAAACTCCAAAATGGATATGACATAAACTATCCACTAGACAGCACTGAAAAACTGAAGCCCACGGCAACAGTTCACGATAATAAGTCAGGAAGAGTGATGAGTTTACAAACGACTGCACCTGCTGTCCAATTATACACTGCAAACACCCTTGTAAAGAAAGGGAAAGGTGGATTTGTCTATCAGCCTTATTCAGCCGTGTGTTTGGAGACTCAAGGATTCCCTGATGCTGTGAATCACCCAAATTTCCCATCAACAATTGTGACTCCGGAACATCCCTACTTTCACAAAATGCTGTTTACGTTCTCAATTAAGAAATATTAGAATGCTATTTGTTCTATCAAGGTTACATGTCCTCTGTGAGTTGTGACAAATAAACACCTGCCATTCTGATTCAATACAGTTGTGCTAGGCTGGAGTTCCCTAAGAACTGTTTTCAAACATGTTTGGTGACTGTTTGCATGTGGACTCATTGTTTTTGGAGTGAGAATTTTGTTTTTTTCTTCTAAGTTGCTAACTCTCCAAAATTGTTATTTCACCTGTGTCGGATTCTTCAAAATGCTGTACTTTTGCAGTATCCGATACACATCCGTTTGACACTTTTGAAGAGTCTGAGCATCAGTTTTCTCAGAACAAATAAAAGTTTGTACCTCTATTGTTTCTGGTTTTTTGTTTTCATTGAGTTCTCTAATCACATTACTCCATATAAATAGTTAGCAGTTTCGTATAATGTTTACTTATTTAGAAGGAAATATTGGGATGAAAAGTCAATCTGATTGAAGTGTCAAAATGAAAATGAAAATTGGCATTAATTTTAAGGGACCACTTGTGTATTTTGGCCTTATTTAATGGGAACTGCCAACTTCTGTGACGAACCAATTATTATTATATACTCTTTCCGTTTAATTGATCACTTTATATTTTATACTGTATTCGGAAAATCATAAATAAAAAGATAATTTTACGTATTTTCCTTTTTTTTATTTTTTTTGGAATTCTATTTACAAATGTAAAGACTTTAAAAAAGAATTGATTGAAAAGAGTAAGATATGGGTGAATAACTAGTACTATTATGAGACAACTATTTTTAATATAATGATTAACTAATATATGGCAGCATAAAAGTATTATTTTCTCCGTCCCTAATAGCTTGTCAATTTTTAGAAACAATAATTGATATTGTCAATTTATCATTTTATCTTTTATTAATTAAGAAGAGGATGAATTAAAAATTTAAGATTTTTTTTCAAAGTAATAAATTGAGATATGAATGGTAATTTTTTTTGTCTTTTTCATGATTTGTCCAAATGAACAAGTAATTAAGACAGAGGAAAAATAGACAATTATTCAAGACGAAAATTTCGAATTCTAAATTCCAGTTTAACGAAGTTATGGAGTAGTTATTATCTCTCAACTTTTAGACCACACACTCGTCATTGTTTATTTTTCACGTGAGTTATCCCATATCCGCGCTGCTGACAAATTCTGATTTGTGCACATGTAAACTGTAGTTAATAAACAAGTGTAAGGATATTGGCGGAGTTCACAAACTCAAGGCTGAACGTGCTTGTCACAGACATTCTAAAGTTTCAAAATTACTAGAGTTGACTATGCCTTCAAAGATTAATTTGTTGATCTGTTTATTCATTCTTCATCTGTGGGCTGCCGTCAGTGTTACAGAGCAAAAAATTGGGGTTTATGAGATCAAGAAAGGAGATTTCTCAGTCAAGATCACCAATTATGGTGCCAGAATCATCTCTGTTTTTCTCCCTGATAAGCATGGTATGTCTGTCTTTCACATTATCAATTATTCAGTATTTACATTCAATGATCTTTGTTTTTATGGTTCTTAGCACTAAATTTATTCTACATTTGAAAATTTAGTATTTGTTGAAATTTCAGTGATTTTTCAAATTTATATTTATGTGGTCCATCAAACCCATAGGTTGATTCTGCTCTCTGAATAAAACTTATTTTTTTGGAAAACATGTCCCACTCTGATCTTTCTTGAAGTGTATAGGTCAGCTGTTTTCTTTTGTTCCTTGAATAAATCAGTCATATAGTCTCTTGCTGATGCTTTTGCAGGAGTAATAGGTGATGTTGTTCTTGGATATGACACCACAGAGGAATACAAGGTTAATTCACTTTGTTCTATTTCAATGATCTATCTGAATTTTCCCCTTTCTAAAAGCTTTTTACTTCATTTTCTCCTTTCTGTTATTTCCACTGTTGTTCTTCTCTGTGAATCGATAGCTATTGTGCCATGTCAATTCAAAGCCAATTACGAACCAAAACAATTGCAGGATTAACAGTTTTTACCTGACACTGTCTAATGGTACCTCTTTCCTAACAAAAACTGCATCTCTCTAGCCTATACTATCTGACTTAAAACCTTCCATCGTATGGACTGATGGAATGAAATTTAGACTGGCAAAAAATCCTCTGTCCCTTTGGAGTTATGCATTCTAATCCTCTCAAATCTTAGGTAATTGTAAAAACTCCTCTTGGTTCTTTTCTTGAATGAAAATTTGGGACTAATTCTAACTGAAATTTTTGACGTAACACATTCAACAATTCATAGTAATAGTACAGAAATGAGAAAGAGTTTTGAATTTAATAATGTACCATTTTAAGTTCTCGTCTTCTATGAATGATTCGTTGGAAATGTTGAAAATTTCATACACAAAAGAGATGAAAGTAATTTTGTGCAGAATGATACAACTTCTTTTGGAGCACTACTTGGAAGGGTTGCAAACCGGATTGGTGGTGCTCAATTTACTTTAAATGGTACCCTTTATAAGCTTGTTGCCAATGATGGCGCAAACACACTACACGGTATCCTCATTACAGTTTTCATTTACCTTTGCTTTCTCTTCCACTTTCACCTCCATATACCCAACTTTGCTTCCTCTTAGAACTTCATAAATATAGGTGGCATTAACGGATTTAGCCGTGTTGTTTGGAATGTTAGCAAATACCAGCAAGATGGTCCCTATCCTCACATTACTTTAACCTACCACAGTGTTGATGGTGAAGAAGGTAAATTAGTTGATTAATTTCCTTTTGAAGATACAATATGAGTCGGAGTAAAATCCATTGTTTTCTTTTGTAGGATTTCCTGGTGATCTTCTTGTCTCTGTTACCTATGCATTGAAAGATCCTTACAAGCTTAGTGTGGTAATGAAGGCTGAAGCATTAAATAAGGCCACTCCAGTTAACTTAGCTCAACACAGTTATTGGAACCTCGGTGGACACAACAGTGGCGATATCTTGTCAAATGTTGTTCAAATCTTTGCATCACACATCACTCCAGTAGACCAGAGCCTCATTCCTACAGGCAAAATTTCTCCTATCAAGAACACACCCTATGATTTCCTTAAACCCCGTGAAGTGGGGAGCCAGATCAAGGAGCTCCAAAGTGGATATGACATCAACTATGTACTCGACAGCACTGAGAAAATGAAGCCGGTGGCAATAGTTTATGATGAAAAATCAGGACGAGTGATGGATGTACAAGCGTCTGCACCTGGTGTTCAATTCTACACTGCAAACTCCCTTAATCAGAAGGGGAAAGGTGGATATGTATATCAGCCTCATGCAGCATTGTGTTTTGAGACTCAAGGGTTTCCTGACGCTATGAATCACCCAAATTTCCCTTCTACAATTGTGACTCCAGGGAAGGCCTACATTCACAAAATGTTGTATACATTCTCGATCATGAAATACTTGAATTCTTATTAGTTTTTTCCTCCATCCCTTGTGTCTTTAGTATTTAAAGCATAAAATTGATACATTTTTCGTCAAGTTATATGTTCTTTATGAAAAATAAAACACCTGACATCTAGACTCATAATACTTGTTTCTTGATGGAGTTCTGTATGAATTGATTGCAGACATGTTCAGTAAGTGCTCAAATGTGGACTCAATGTTTTTGGAGTGGATAATTTTGTATTTCGTCGAGTGTTCTGATATGATAAACCATGGTTGTGACACTGATACCACGATAGAAAATGTATTTGGGCTTAACTCAACCCAAGAACTAGTTCACGAGGAGAGGATTGTCTAATCAAATAAAAAAAGTTCAAATTTCCTCATCCCACTGATATAGGACTCAACACAACTCAAGACCTCCTTCCTAACTCTTTGATTTGAGTGATTTATCAACGAAGCTATAGACTCTGAATCTTCTTAGAGAGGTCGAGTCCATGTTTGTTTTCCATTTTAACTCTACTGTGTTAAATCAACTCCTTTTAATGAAGTTGAAGGACCAAAATCGGAAGCTAAATTTAGGTAAATTCAAAAAGTCGAATCAAGGAAATGGTGGATCGTGTGATTGAGTATAATATATCTTTCAAGGCAAACATTTCTCCAAGTTTTTAATTCCAGAATAAGAATCATGTCAATCGTGGGTACCCTTTTTTTTTTAATTTACAAGTCAGCATAAACGGCTACTTGTTCATGTTAATTAATAATGGCTAACTTGACCCTGTCAATCATAATTAATATTGCACACTCACCATTGTCAATTTTAAATGGAGAAATCCGATTTTTGCTCACATTATTTGACAGACAAGTTCTTTTCTTTCTCACATGCACATAATAATCTAATCCCAATAAATTATATAATAGTGCCACGTGAATTGGAGAAGCATTATAAAAGTCAGAAGAAGTTGTCAGTAAAAACACTCAAAATTTGCTTTCCTGAACTAATTTCTTTAGCATAATAAGTTTTACTACTTAGTAGGACGAATCTATTTTGTTTTGTTTTTTTATTTGAAATTTTTTGAGTATTTTTTTTTTTTTGAACTCTTGTTATGCAGATTATATTTTTCAGTCAATAAAACTATTGACAGACAATTTCAGTAAAATATTCTTAACCTCTTTTGTCGCACTATCTTATAAAAAACAACAACACAGTCTCAAAACCAGAGGAGCTGATTATGTCTTCAAAGATTATTAGTGTGTTGATCTGTTTGTTCATTTTTCATCTGTTGGCTGCTGGTAGTGTAGCAGGCTGCGAGATAGGGGTCTATGAGATCAAAAACGGAGATTTCTCTGTTAAGATCACCAATTATGGTGCCAGAATCATCTCTGTTTTTCTTCCTGATAAGAATGGTATGTTTTTGTTTCAATTTTCTTGATTTGTATTTGTTTTTTGCAAGTTCTTGAAGAGATCAGTCATAATTTTGTCTTGCTCCTTTCCAGGAAAAATAGATGATGTTGTTCTTGGATATTACACTGTCAAGGAATACATTGTTAGTTCACTCTATCCATTGTATTTAATGGCTTATGTCATTCATAGGTGCACAAAGCATCCCACGTTATGAATAAACTAATAGGAAAGTGATTTTTTGCAGAATGAAACACGTTATTTTGGAGCCCTACTTGGAAGGGTTGTTAACAGGATTAGTGGTGCTCAATTTACTTTGAATGGAACCCTTTATAAGCTTGTCCCTAATGAAGGCAACAACACAATTCATGGTAATTCTCATTACATTTCCTTTTTACCTATATTTCTCTAACATTGTTAACTCCATTTCTACTCATTTCCTTCCTCAGATGTAATTAAAATACAGGTGGCCCTAAAGGATTTAGCTTTGTTGTTTGGAAGGTAAGCGAATACGTGCAAGATGGTCCATGTCCTCACATAACTCTAACCTACCACAGTACTGATGGTGAAGAAGGTAAATAATTCTTACTGTCCTTCTCAAGAAAGCTATATATATATATATATATATGAATTTGATGAATCATGTCAATTAATTGTTTTGTTATAGGATTTCCTGGTGATGTTCTTGTCTCTGTTACCTATGCATTGAAAGATCCTTACAAACTTAGTGTCGAATTTAAGGCAAAATCACTGAACAAGGCCACTCCGATTAACCTGTCTCACCACCCTTACTGGAACCTCCGTGGTCACAACAGTGGTGACGTCTTGTCTCAAGTTGTTCAAATCTATGCATCACACATCACCCCAGTTGATGAACAGCTCATTCCTACAGGGGAAATCTCCCCTGTCAAGAACACGCCCTACAACTTCCTTAAACCTCGTAAGGTAGGGAGCAGGATCGATGAAGTCCAAATTGGATATGATAGAAACTATGTACTCGACAGCAATAAGAAAATGAAACCAGTGGCAATAGTTTATGACAAGAAATCAGGACGAGTAATGAATATCCAAGCGACTGCGCCTTGTGTGCATTTCTACACTGCAAATTGGATCATCAATGTAAAAGGGAAAGGTGGATTTGTGTATCAGCCTCGTTCAGCATTGTCTTTGGAGACTCAAGGGTACCCTGACGCTGTAAATCATCCAAATTTCCCTTCCACAATTGTGAATCCCGGAAAAACTTATGCTCACTCTGTTGTATACTTTCTCCATCAAAAAATAGATTTGGCACGTATCCTCTTAATAACATTGTCTACTTCAATTGATTTTTGTATCAAGGTTAAAACTCCTACATTAGTAAGGAGACATAAGTTCGATTTCTAAGGGCAAATTGGTAATTAAATAATGATATTATCCACTTTGGGCTAAATTTATATGATGACGCCAACAAATGTATTTATCAGTATCACGTTTATCTTTTCAGTTATCAGTGTGGATATATTTTCATAAATATGACTTTTTATGATTTAATAGATATTATACTATATATGAAAGTGACGCGTAGTAATTGACCCTGGACAATCATACAACCCGGAAAATACTGAACGCAATCAAAGGACTACATTATGAAATACACATGATGTTTGCTAATGCGGTTCAAGTGCCAAAATTTAAAATTAAATAATAAGCAAAATGTTTTATAATTACGCCAACGTGGGTACCAATTTTTTGTATTAAGAGTCACGCAAACAACTACTTTCTGTGATTAATTATCTATATCTATAGTATTTTATTATAAGAGAAATCTATCTGGTATACCAGATAGAAAAGTCACTTGACACATTTTGACAACAACGATTTCAAATTTCACCCACTAATGATATTAAATGTTTAATAGTATGTATACGATCTTTACAAAAATTGTTCTATTTTTACTAGATTGGAATAAAATGTAAATAATTGTAGGATTCCCAATGTAAGTATTATTATTTTGATAAATTGTGAACAAATGACCAGTATGATATATACGTTTCCCCCTCCTACGGGAAATGTTGGTCCACATTTTTATTTCTTAAAATTAAGAGTCAGTTTGGGCAAATTATCATGTACTAATTGTTTTCTTAAATTTACACTTTTTAAAATATAAAGTGGACAAAAAGTAATATTTCCTTCCTTCTAAAATAATTGTCATAATTTTCTTTTTTTGGAATCAAAATATCAATTTAGACTAACTTTTGAAGTTATGTTTTTTCATCTAATGGATATAAAAAAAACAATTTATAATATTTTGATATAATTTCTTAATATTCAAAATTTATAATTATAAAATATTAAATTAATCTAATATAACATAATATTGAAAATTAATTATTTAAATTCACCATAAAAAAAGGAAATAGAATTATCCGTCCACAATTATTTGGCGGGTATATTAAAAATAGATGTTCAAAATGAATTGTCGATTTAAACAATTAAAAAAATAATTAGTTATTTTTTTCAATTCTACGCTTAATGATTACTCTATTTTGATTAGTTAATATTAAATTTTCCTTAAAAAGATGAATGAGTTATCCTAATAATCAATTATGAACTGAGGGAGTAATATTTTGGAAGGGGACGAATAATTTGTCTAAAATAACTCAATCAATTTCAGTACTTAACGCTCATTATTGTGGAATTTTCTACGGAAGAGGCTCTTTGTTCACATGCTGCTAATATTCTAATCCTACATTTACATTAATGCCAAATGAATGGACGAAGTACATAAGTTGAAGAGTTGGCCGCTCTAGAAAAACAGAGATCCAAAGATGAGTATGTCTTCAAAGATTAATTTGTTCATCTGTTTGTTCATTTTTCATCTATTGTTTGCTGCTAGTGTTAAGATAGGAATATATGAGTTAAAGAAAGGAGATTTCGCAGTTAAGATCACTGATTATGGTGCCAGAATCATCTCTGTTCTTCTTCCTGATAAGAATGGTATGTACTCTCTGTTTTAATGTGTATATTTGTACTGCTTTCTGCTATTCCTTGAAGAAATTAGTTTTATCTTGTCTTTGATTCCTTTCAGGAAAAATAGATGATGTTGTTCTTGGATATGACACCATCGATGAATATCTGGTTAGTTCACTTTATTTTGTTTGTTGTATTTGAATGTGTGTTTTCCTATTTCCCCCTTCAATAGTAGAGGGAGATTACAATGCGGAGAATCGACCCATACACTAGGTGAAAATTCGGTTAGAGTTACGAAGATTCCCCTTTTCACTTCAGGCACTGGAGATTAATAGGCTATATATATAGAAACCTTTTTTTAACTTTTGGGATTTAGTAGAGGTTATTCAGATGGGCGGCTAAATTGTGGGATTACATGTTTTGTTTTGCGTACATTCATTTCTTCTCCTGCAATTTGTCCAATATATCAGCTTTCTCTTTGTCTCATTTGAGTGATATGTAGTTTGGTAAGTAGATACTTTGTCTCAATAGATATCTGAACAGGGATTTAGTTTCAAGTCACCAAGTCCTTTAGCCGTCCCTGCTTGAATTGTGCTATGTAAAAATCCAGAGTCATTTGACACTGCTAATTGTAGTTCTTTCCCGACAAACACCGCGTCCCTAGTCTATAATATCAGCTAAAAAGAACTCCCATCTTTTGGATTGATTTAGCCCCGTTTGTTTTCACCTATGAAAGTAACTTGGTGCAGAATGATACAAGTTATTTTGGAGCCACCGTTGGACGAGTAGCTAAC